TGGCTCCTCTCGCTTCTGCCGCCCGCCCCCCTCCACTCGCCTCTCGCCCCTCCTTCCTTGCTCTTGCCGTGTGCTGTCCGATCCGCCCCGGTCCCCGCCGCCCTGCCCGCCCTGCCCGCCATGCCATCCGGCTCACGCCTCCCCCTTTGTCCCCCCTCCCCGGCCGCCGCCCGGCCCCCGGCGCAGAATGCGTCACGGTGTTGCCTTCTCCTCGCTCAACCGCGACTCCAAGTCGCGCATGCACATGCTCCGCGTCATGGTCACCCAGCTGATCAAGCACGAGCGCATCACCACCACCCACGCCAAGGCCAAGGCCATCCAGCCGCTGGCCGAGAAGGTGCGCGCCATTTGGCCGCCGCCCATGTGTTGCACTTCGCCTGCCCTCGCCCCGCCCCTCTCCCGCGACGCTCACACGCGCTTCTCCCCTCCCTGGCCCCCGGCAGATGGTCACCCTGGCCAAGGATGGCACGCTGCACTCGAGGCGCCAGGCCCTGGCCTTCGTCAATGAGCCGGCCCTGGTGACCAAGCTCTTCAATGAGTTCGCCCCCCGGTATCGCGAGCGCTCCGGCGGCTACACCCGTGTCCTGCGCGTGCGTGTGTCCCCCGCTGCTGCCCGGCTGTCTTGAGTTGGTTTTTTTTGTCCTTGCTTGCCGGCTGTCCTGCCTCTTCCTTTCTCTCTGTTGCCTGCTCTCTCCCTTTCTCCCTTCTCCACGTGCCACCCTAGCCAGTCATGGATGCGCGCTGACCCCCTTTCCACCCGCTGCCCCCCGCGCTGCCCCTGGCGCGGTCTGGCTGCACGCCCGGCCGTGCACCCATCCGGTGGCCATCGGCAACAGAATGGCACCCGGCTCGGTGACCGCGCCCCGCAGTCGGTGATCGAGTTCGTGGACAGCCCCCTCGGCAACACGCTGGCCCCCTCGAAGGAGCGCAAGTTCTGGCAGGACTTCTACAAGAAGCAGGCCGAGGGCGGCCAGCAGCAGACCGGCGGCGCCCAGTAGGTGGACACACACGAGGCCGCGCCCCCCCCCCCCCCCCCCTTGCGACTCTCTCCTGCGAGGTGTGGCTTCCGCACACACCGGCGCGCGAGTGCACGCATGCCCCCATCGTACCGAAGAAAAAAAGCCCGCCCCCGAGACGCTCCCACTCTCGGAGGGGGATGCGGGTGCACACACACACACACACCCCTGTCTCGCGTTTTCCTCTCCTCACATCATTCATCCCCCCCCCTCCAAATAGACTCCTCCTTCTTTTGATGTATGCCTGCTGCTGCGTGCGTGTGAGTGTGCGTGTGACGCACGCAGCCGGGCCGGGGCACGGGCGAGGATCGCACCTCCTGGCGAGTGTTTGCGCACCTTCGGTCCGGGAGAGGGGAGGGGGGGGGCGTCTCCGGGATCCGCGGCTGTGGCCGCCGCCCGGCCGGCAGGCAGGGCACATATGCAGGGCGGCGGCGGCGGCGGCGGCAGCAGGCCCAGGCGGCGGGGCGTGATTAGGCCCATTGCAGCCGGATTAATTGCATATCCGCGTGATCGCCCTCTTAATTTATGTCCTCCCATCAAGCCATTCTGGCGGAGCGCGGCTTGCGGCTTTGGGAGGCGATGCGCGCGGCGTGGGGACGCCAAGTGGGGCGGGGAAGTGGGAGGGACGGGGGGGGGGACGACCGGGTTGCTGTTTGTCCGGGTATGGCTGAGTGGATGGCAGACGGGCCGACACTGGGGCTGTGGGAGCGGCCGGCCCGGGGTCAGACGGGGGATGCCCATTCAGCCCCGTCGGAGATGGGTGCCCTGTTGCCGGGGCGCACTGGGCGTGGGGAGGGGGCGGGGGGGGGAGCCGGCATTTGCCGAGAGGGCAATATAAATAATAGGTGAATACTTGATGCTTGGGGGGTTGCTCGGCCCAGCCCGGCGCAGGGGGGGCGCGCAGTGCGGGCGGCAGGGGGCGCGGGGGGGGGGGGGGAAATAAGTCCGCGAGCGGACGCCCCCGCACACGCGAGGGCCTGCTCGGCGCGCCGGCCGTTCCCCAGCTGGCTAGCGAGCAAAGGCATCCGACTGGGTCATATCCCGCGCGAGAGCGGCTCGGCCAAGGGCGCTGGGCCGGCCCAAAAGGCGGGCCGCCGGGCAGTCGGGGCGGGGGGGGGGGGGGGGGGGGGGGAGTCCGGCAGCTGGCCCCG